TGGGTTACTAATATTATTCCGTATACTCTGCAGCTATTCTACTGTCAAAAAACTCACAGAATTAACCTTAAAGTAGCATTAAAGTCTCTTATTGTTTGTCATATATCTAGTGCTAGCAAGCAGTAGATACAGTATATGCCCCATGATTAAATAAATAAATAGGGAAATAACTAATTACTTACCTGTTGCAGTGCCGCTCGCTCCCGGCTGAGACACTCCCGCCTCCCGAACGGCTGTGAAGAAGTGTGCTGGCGCATGCGCAGTAGAGGGGAGGGAAGGGGAGAAAACAGACAAACTCAATGGACGCAGCCGGGAGTGCGCATGTCGGACAGACACCGTGAGACACGAAAAGTCTGCGGTGGATCATAGACCGGCACCAGCGCTGGAAGGACTGTCGGAAACGAGTGGAAGGAAGAAGATGATTGCAGCAAGAGGCATCAAATAAGGCAAGTGATTACAGCAGAAGGGGGGGAGGGGGGAATATGTTTTACCTTGACTGTCACTTAAATTATAGCTAAAGCCAAAATGTATTTTTCCCCTTCATTTAAGACAGATTAGTGAAGGGTTAAAAATGCTGTCAGTATTTTTTTTTTAACCACCTTTGTCTCATTAGCAAGATTACCCATCACTTCCTGCCCTTTAGACTCAATAGGAAGTGAAAGGATAACTTTCTAATGTAAGAGAAATCTCCTTTTAGGCCTTATTCACACTGACCTTGTCAAACCTGCATGAGTATGCCTTTAGAGCACATTTCTAAATGCATATAAAGCATGTAATTGATTTTCAGTGGTATAATTTGCATTTACCCGAATTCGGTTTAGCTCAGTTTAGAGGAAATAGAATTTTGCGCATCTAGAATCTGATTAGAAGCTCTAAACGCGGCTAAGTGCACCTGAACATATGTAAATGTGTCTAAATGTAGCATTAAGTAGAAACATCTAAATACAGGAAAAAGTGATCTGGGAAGCATAAAAGCTTTGTATACTTCCCTGAAAGCTTCTCCTGCTTTTAGAAAAGCTAAACGCAGGAGTGCAAATGTACCTGAGAACTTAGCTGATACGGGAACAAGTGTCCCCATTGAGCGATTTCACCTCCACTCCTGTTTTAGTGACATACAACAGCTGATGCAAGCAACTGTCATAGTATTGTTCGACTGAATCCTTGTCAGATTCCCTGTGCAAATGAGAGTGTTGAAGAACCTAACCGCTCTGAGATGATTAGGACATAGACTTCCTCTGGCAACCAAGTTACCTGTACCGAGAGGTTATTCAGGACCCCTCCCCAGCCCAACAGGCTGGCATCTATCATAAGAACTTTCCAAACCAAGGGGCGGTAAGATTTTCCTGACTCTAGCATTAGACACATGACCTATCATGCCAAGGAAAGACTTGTTTTTGCTGTTTCCTGGATCAGTTCCAGATATTTCAGGGGTTGACAGGGCCCCAGTTCCGATTCCTAGAGATTTAGGATCCACCTGAATCTCCTTCTGGAGAGGCTGTTGGACATCGGCTGATAAAGCCAGAGCCGGCTGTTCCCTGAGGAGAAATAGGTAATAACCGCAACTTGTAAGGGGATCCCTTAGGAGATGGTTGTCCAGATAGCTTAAGGGTATGCCCTGAGAGTGAAGCAGCACCTTGGAGAAAAACCGAAACCTTGCACGCCCACAGCAATAACGCAGGTAGACGTGATTCATTGAGAAGATGGGGACATGCCAGTAAGCATCTTTGATGTCCACAAAAGCTAGATCTCCCAGAAAGAAGGGAAACAATGACTGACCTGGTGGGTTCCATGCAGAACTTTTTGTTGTTGTTGACAACCTTTAGATTCCGTATGTGGTGAATGCCTCATTTGTCTTTGGGGACGGTGAACAGGTTTGAATTTAAACCCTGTAACCTTTCCATTTTTGGAAGGACTATGACCCCTTGTTAAAGAAGCTGTGACAAAGCAACATGGAGGTCCGCCAATCTTTGCAGGGGTGCTAGCAAGTTTAACAAGAACAAAATGTCAGATTGCAGCCTGGACAATCACTTTTCAAGACCAGCTACAATAGAGAATGCAGTGAAACAGTCTTCTGGGCTTTTTAGAGAACCCAGGGCTCAATTCATTAAGAGCTAAATAACTCATGAAATTTTGAGGTAAACTAACTCACGTTATTTAACTCTTAAGCATACAGTTCACAGCATACAGTCTGCAAATACTGACTACCCCAAGCAGGGGATAATTACCTCATAACTTTTCTTTTTGAGTGAATTGACTAATGTATTTCATGTGATATTTGTATCATGTTTTTCAGTACATATATATACTCGACCGTATATACTCGAGTATAAGCCGTCCCGAATATAAGCCGAGGTACCTAATTTTACCACAAAAAACTGGGAAAAAGTATTGACCCGAATATAAGCCGAGGGTGGGAAATGAGGCAGCTAATGATAAATATTCATGTAATTTTATTGGTATCTATCTAAAAAAATGGGCTGAAAATCTCGGCTTATACTCGAGTATATACGGTATTTGCTTCATCTCACGTTTTTAAAGAATTTACTTTTTTTTATCTCACATTTCACTAAAAAGGTCATGTGACCATTTTATCTCATGAGATAACATTTACTGAATTGACCCCCCAGGCTGGTAACCTTAGGCATAGCTAATGCAAGAAGCTCCAAGTCTAAGCATGTGCCGACAGCATCAATAAGGCCTGCGATGGAATCCTTAGGTTTTAGAGTTATATATGCAGATTGAGACTCTTCCTGTTGCAATTACTTAGATAATGTAAAATTTTCCTTATCCTCAACTGACTGTGCAAAAGCAACTGCAGCCCCAGGAGACTATGGAAGAGATGCAGCCCAATTTAGAGACTATGGAAGAGATGCTGTGGAGTCACGCTTGTAGCCCCTGCTTTTTGAGTCCGCTATCATGGCTTTAATTTTTCCCATAAACTCAGGCAGAGTAGCAGAGAATTCTTCCCTAGATAAAACCAAGGAAGGATTTACCAATGAAAGGGATGAGAAAGACTGAAGAGTGCTGCAACTCAGGCAGGGGGCAGTTTTTGGGACATCCTTGTCAGATTCCTTAGGGAGTATACTGCAAGACACCCTGGCACTGATAGTGGACCATAAGCTGGCTGAGCCCCCTAGACTGCTGCTCTTGTGCTTACTAGGTATAGAGTGAGGGATTGCTCACAATTGGTACTCCAAACTGTCTATCAAGCACAGAGGGTTAATGCTGTATGTGACCAGGTCATCGCAATGCAGCAGGGAGCCCAGAGGATTGTGGAGCTCGTGTACTGTGGTGATGGCAGGAAGGCAACAAAGTCTGCTCATGCCCAGAGCAAATGTAGCACACATGCATAGTAGGATCTCTATGAGGGGGGCCCACACAGGAGCAGTAGGGCCAAAGCCCAAGGGAAGCTGCAGTAAGGAACGCTTGAGCACCAGATTGAAATTTCACTGTTCTTCTCACTGCCAACCGCGTGACCGATTGTGTCAGAGCAAAGCCCAGCACCACTAAATTCAAAGGCAAAAGTCCTGCTCATCGCAGTTGAGATCCATAGAAGGCCCAGAGGGCATAATCCTGGGCACATTCTGGTCCTGCAAATCTTTGCCCCAGCGGTGGGCATACAACCCTAAGGCCCCATTCACACTGCGCGATTCGCATTTTGCGCGATGTCGTGCGATATGGCGCAAATGCTTGCATTGAGCAAGCTAGAATCGCGCCAAAATCCGCTCCAAAAAGGGTCCTGCTGTAGCGACGCACGACCCGCGACAGCAGGACCCTTTGCCCCATTGGAGAGCGATATCGCGCTGTAAATAGCCGCGATATCGCGGGAATTACCGCGCGATAAATCGCTCAGTGTGAACGGGGCCTAAAGGGGACTTCAGGGACAGGGTTCCACCCGGCACCATGACCCCTGGACCTTTACAGAAACCTGCAGAGTCCAGTGCCAAAAACATTACAGATCGGCCCCCGCTTTTGAGACAATGGCGAGGATCACCAAATTTGGAAAGCTGAAAAATCAGCCTCTTTGGCTCTGCTCAGAGAGACAGCAGCAAAACCCCTTGTATCTGAATACTTGATGTTTGACATTGTGCAAGAAACAGGAAACAACCTACAGTATGCTTCAATGTGATCTGTGGTTTAGTTCTTCTACGTCTAAAAGAAACTGATGCAAGTGCCAAATTATACAAGTGATAACAGTATGATAAACTGTATGACAGCAAAACTGTAGAGCAGTAGATACTGTAAACAAGCTGAAAGTATTTAGGTCTAACTTGTTTCATAGGTGGATTTGCAGTTCATGGCAGTAATCAGCTGCTTTTCTATCTTGTTTCTCTCTGAGTTCATAGCAACTTGCCCTAAGCTTTAGGACATTATCTGAAGGCGTGACTGGCCGATATGATCTCAGAGTACAAGGTACATGGACCTTTACAAGCTGTAAAGTCCTCTATTAGCAGTATAATTTATATTGTTACAAACACATATTTACAAAGAAGCAAATTAGATAATATATATTTATTCTTTTTTTTCTCTGAAAATTTTACATATACCTAGTTAAAAGAACACAGTGAACATAAAGCTATAGATATTTACACATATATAAGCCTCATGTCTAGGACTCAAGACGTATCTGTACACCTTATGATGATCTAGTTACATATCAAATCCTCTGAAAATTATAAGTATCAGAACCATTACGTATCTCTTAACACCCAAGACAGACCAAGCTAATAGTTAATGGGTTCAAACTAACCATCAGGACAGAAAATGTTTCTCGAGCGAAATTCTAACAGTGAATGTGGTTCCATTTATATCAACATTAAACGCAAAAATTTCGAATGACCTTCATCAGGTCTCGGACAGCATTTTTAAATGTTCTGAAGAGATTTTTCATACAAATGTTCATACAAAATTCCAACCATGCATACCTAGGTTAAGCAAGGGAGTGGGATGTCCATACACACACCCAAATCCACATGCACACAGTAGAAGGAGCCAGAAGGTAAAAACAGAAAAAGCACATTATTTTATTTAGTCATGGTTGTGATATTTTATACAGAATGTTTTTGAGTTTGTGTAGTATTTGTTGTAGTGGTAGTATAGAAAAAGAACGCTATACTACCTGTCTCTTTGAATATTTTAACCATGGAGACTAGTATCAGCTTATCTTTCACTTGTATTGGTTTGATTTAACAAACGCACACTGAAACAAAAAAGGTACACTAGTGTTCTTTAGATCCAAGAACTAGATTTATCACACTGTTTCTTAAAGGTAACATAAGTATTGTCATTTACATAAATACAATATGTACCAAAGAGAATCCACCCATCTCATTCTTGGTCATTTCAGCCCAATTAAGAATTTTTTGATGAGCAAACATTGTACTGGATGGGGCTGGCAGGGTTTGATAAGATCATGAGCTAGAAGCAAGAGGAAGTTTCTATCCAATTGTGTCCTGCCAAGGTTTGTCTTTTTGTTTCTTTGGAGAAACTGGTATTTTCTCTCTTTGCTGCAAAGGATTCTGGGAAAATGTCTGTCTCAATGGACCTGTAAGATAAGCAGAAAGTTGCGTCAATAAATACACGTTATCTGCCCTACATTAGACTGACTTATTGAGCACTTAAAGTAGCTATAGTAAGCACAAAGCTTCAGGTCAGAAATATAACCTCTGTATCTAGAAATTCACTGTGTATGTTACAAGCAGAGGAACTCGGTTGCCTAAAGCAGCTGTGGGGCTGACCACATCAGCTACATAGAGGTCATATCTGAATTGTAGCATTTTGCAAACGTAATAGGAAAAAAAATATACACCAAGATTTTATTTTTGCAAATTCAGGGAACTGAACCCAGCGACTGACTGCAATATGAAATACTTCTTCTTTTGTGCAAGTCAAAATTGTAAACCCATATTTGTTAAAGCAGAAATCTGGGCAGGACAACTTAAGGTAACTAAAAAAACAAAACTGTACCCGGAGTTGAACAATAACTAGTTCTGACAACAGCAATTAAAACCAAGTAGTTTGTATGATTTTATACATTATTACACACCCTTTAGGATATACTGGGGCTGCCATTTCTTTTGACCTAAAGCAGTCAGTGGTCTAATGCAGATTAGGAAGTTAAGGATGAAGTCAGCACTCCAGATCTGCATACTTGTCCACTGAACACACACGACAGCCACACAACTTGCATTTTTAGGAGAGGTTAGCAATGCCAGTCTCTATCCTCTCGCTACAGGTTTCCTATTAGGTTCTTGGGTTTCCGGGTCTGCAAACTAATTTAAAACACTGCACCCTTTTGTGGGAAATGATACAAGTACTGGAATCCACAAATCAGAGGAGAAACACAGCAAGGGCAAAACTGAAATGAGTTTTAAGCGTTCAAAATAAATGAGCTTTTTTTTTTTTCTTTCTTCAATTCACATGTGAACTGTACAATTGCTAACCTTTTGCTGCAATATCCAGGTGGTGTTTTATTCTGCGTTCTCTGTCCTCTAACTGCTGAGCCAGTTGTGCATTTTTCCAACCTGCAGAGCAATGGATTGATAAGTGTGCTGTAGTAATGGAAATTCACATAGCAAACAAACTACAGTCATACTAACTCCAACAAAATATCATGCTCACGCTACACAAATACTGTATAAACTAACATGCTGACCCAAGTCAAAATGTATGTAAAGCCAAAACATTTTCTCCGTTATGGATAGTAGAGAATATTAAATCCACTGTCGGTTTATTGTTGGGACTGGGAGATGGGGGAAATCTCCCCAACAGGAGAAAAGTAGCAAAAATAAACCATGATGTGCGAAGAAATTTCTATTTAGAGAGGGGAAACTGCTCATTTAGACAGTTGTTAGCGGAATAGCTGTTCACATTGGAAGAATTACGCTCACCTTTTGTTCCCAAGACAACTCAAACATTTTGGATCTCCTCTCACTTTCTGTACCGTAGACCATAGTCACCAGGACAAATAGTGAAGTTGAGTATGTGCAGCTCGGACACAGACAGCAATAAATATCAGAAACCCTATCCCTAACCTAGTCTATTCAAAAGCTGAAAACAAAATAATTCATTACATACACTTTAAAATGATGGTGGTCTTTGAACATACCAAATTAATATTCCTATAGGGTTTATAAAGAGACCTTGCGTTTTTTGCTTTGAGTTTTAAACGCACACCATGGAGATACAGTGTTCTGTAAACCTGCATATAATACATGCCCCAACTTTGCTTAACCTAGCTATACACAGCTCATTTTCTCTCAGTAAACCTGTAGGCTGACAGAGAAGATCAGCCGATTGCACCATCCATTTTAAACCGCAAGGTAGATAGCATTTCCATTGCCAGTTACTGTATTCAGACAGCTACTGCATCCATGGCTGCCTGAATACAGTGGTGCATCTAATAGGATGCAGTCACTGTTTGGTTGACAATTTTCTGTCTAGAACCATCTATTTTTAATTCGGCTTTTGTCAAGCCTGGTGGTGCTTGCTGGGCCACTCATGGCTCAAATTTTGGCAGATTTAGCAGGAATCGGCCAAAATTTTAGACGCTTAGAGTTAGATTTATTTAGGGCTGCTTCATTCATGGGGCATAGAAGACAAGGTTTGCAAATGCTGGCTTTCCCAATGTCTGACTGACCCTAGCAATTTCTGTTTATGTTCTTCTTACTATCCATACTTGTGCCGTCTAAGTATGTTTTTATTTTGCTTTCAATTGTCTATGAAAAAATATTACTCTAGTCAATGGTGGCTTTCCTCCAGGTGAAAGAGTGTATTAAAATTGCCCTGCACTTAGTGACATAGTATCAGTAAATATTTAGAACTGTGACTGGATTGCTATATCATTGAGAGGCATGGTTTTTGCAGGTTGCCTGTAATCACTGCTTGTCTTCTCCCTCATGTAATCTAATTCCAATTGCTTATGCCCTGCTATCCCTCAAACACGCCTTCTGTTGTATCCTACATTCCTATGTGTACGCATTACTCTACTCTAATCTACTGCCCTCTTAATGTGCCTTAATGGGGATTCAACATCATCCCTGAAATCCGCATCTTTTCTAAAGTTGACTGTATAGAAAACCCCCTGTTAATGAATCCAGGATATAAGGAACTATTGACAACTCTAGGACACAGTGACACAGAGCAGCACCCGGTGAGGAGAGAAACTAAGGATGCACTGCAATTTTGGGCAAAAGATGGCTTTTAGAATTTTACCAAAAGTGCCATTTTTGGCGGACGAAATTTGGGTGCATCTCTAATAAATAGTTAGGCTGCATTCATTGCTGATGTCTGGCCTGGATGGTTTCATCCCATTGTGCGCAAAAAGGATTAGGTGAAAAGCAGCATTTATTAGATTTAAAAATACATGAATCCTGTCAAATTCAAAACATAAAAAGTGCCATAAATACCAGTTTGAAAACTCTTCACTAAGCCCTCCTGCTTTGGCAGTACTGATGGGTCATGCTGGACAGGTTTTTGGATTTTCAGTTTTTCTCGAACAGCTGGTACCTTCAAGAAGGCCACTTGGGCTATAGAGAAGAAGTTTGAGGTAACCCAATAGGTGAACACGGCCTGAAACAAAAAGGTGTAACAATGATCATGCCATAATACCACAAATTAAAGCTTACAGAACAAGTCAGGGAAAAATCAAAAACTTGCCCTTGCAGTGAGGCTATTCCTGCACTGCAAGGGTTAAGTGCTAGGTTTTGTCTAGAAGACTCAAAGCTGTTTTACTTACCGACTCCTGCTCCCACGGTGGCCATCAGGAATGTCCTTTGGTGTCCTCATGTCTAATAGAGGGCAATAGAGATGCACAAGATGTGATGTGTGGTCCTTCGATCACCAGAGGGAAGGGGAGAAGAAGCTGAAGAGACTGGTCTAGCAGTCTGGAAGGAGCTGCAGGGACCGAAGATGAGGTGAGTAAAACAGCTTTGAGTTCCGAAATAAGCACTTAACCCTTGCAGTGCAGGGCTAGCCCCACTGCAAGAGTTAAGTTCGTTTGCCTGGAGTTCTTCTTTAAAGTGACTCAGTCCCTTAAAAAAATGTTCCCTATAAAAGAAAAAAAGTATATACTGCACTTAGCTCTCCTGCTGCTGGCAGTGTTGTATGTACTGCTCGGTTGTAAAGAAATCCCTTGCTAAAGTGTCTTTTGAAACCAATACGTCTTTAGGCTCTAGCCCTTATTGGTCTTTTCATACTTTTTGACTGTCCTGAGAAATGTTGTCATATTTCTCCACTCTTATTGATTGCGAAGATGTTGTTAGACTATGTTATATATTTGATATAGACCTGAAGGGCACATTTAGACTATAGCATTGCTAAGATGCACGATAACGTGCGTTTAATGCACACTATCGCACCAGACGTTACTGGGCCCTCGGTGCGTTTTGTTGCCATTCATTTGAATGACATCCTAATGCGCCTCCCGGCTGCCATGAGTACCACAATACCGTGTTGCGGTGAAAAAAAGTAGTGCATGTGTACATTATAAGACAACACTGATCTGCTGTGTCCTCACTTACCTCCATATCACTTATCTGTCCTGTTGTGACGTAGAGGGTCAATGAGGTAAAAAATAAAAATAAAATTACAGTAAAGAAAAGGACGACCAGCAATGTGGTGGATAGATATAGTCAGAAAGATCTCTATGACTAAGCCTGTGATTGGGTGAAACGCATCAGTGGTGGAGGAGCGGTGCTTCTTTTAAGTGTTCTTCTTGTACGCTGACGTAAAGACTTAAGACCCAAAAAGGAAACAGATCACTCTAGAGAAACTATCCATGTGGTTGCCAGGAATCTACATTAGCTTGATGGCATTTAACAATAATAATAATTTGGTAAGAATGATAATGTTGAGGCAAGATTACTTACTGTAGGGAAGTTTATGGTAAGAGGCAAAATTATCAACGGCATTACACGGAAAACAGTCTTCATGACCTTGAGGTTGGGATTGCTAACACCAGACTCTGCTCCCAGCTAGAAAAAAAAATATTTTATAAGGCCCAGATAGGAAAATGCATGCAAAATATGCAGACATGAAGAGAACAGCAGAGAACACTGGAGACTGTCAAAATGGATGGATGTTTAAAAAAAAAGCAAGAAAAGTTACCTCTAGAACAGCCCACATGCTGCTTGTTACAATTAGTGGCAGCACATAGTAAGGGTCAGCTGCAGCCAGGTCTGAAAACCACCATAGGCCACCAGTTTGCAAGCTGGGCACGGGGAGGTATGCCATCTGTCTCAGTGCCACAAAGAATGAGATGAATATTGGAGCCTAGAAAAGACAGGAAAATAAATGACATTTATTACATAGTCTATGAAAATGTTAATATGTATTATGCAGAAAGACAACCAATGTAGTACATACAGAGATGACAACAAAATAAAGCTTACTTCATACTGTAAGTTCTACTGTGAAAGCGCATAATTAGTGAATATTGAATACAGAAAACAGTCTTAAAGTGTACGTATAGCCATTTTTTTGGGTTTGAATAGAACATGGTATGGTTGAAACGCCTGTCAGTTTTTGCTGCCTATGTCCTGTATGGGAGATTTCCCTTCACTTTCTGTCCTATAGATGCAATCTCAGAAATGTGGACAGTTATCATGGGAACAAGTGTCCCAGTTGGAAGATCTACCCTCACCTTCTATTCCAGTGGCAACTGTACAATTTTGGATTGTCATTACTTTCTGTCCAGGTGACAATGGTCTTCAGAACAAATTGAGAGAGTGATGCAACAAAAACCACTCGACAGGGATACTCTATTTAAACTAAAGGAAAACATTTTGGCTATACATGCACTTTGAGTTTTTAGCTGTCAAACTATATAAAAACGCATGAGACAGATGTATTTATATATTGACCAGAAACCAAGAAGTATAATTAAAGTCAAACAAAAGAACACACAGCAAAAAGGGTTTAAATTTTTTTTTTTTTTTTTTAAAGTCAAAGTCAGAGGTCCAAAGACCTCTCCTACAATCCCTGAGCTCCATCTGCTGCAGTAATACAGATGAATGACTACCATGGGACATGCCAGCACTGTAAAAATAGGGATAAAAGAAGGGGTAGGATATGCCATTTCTCCTATAGAAGGAAAACCGACCCCACAAAGGGATCCGCCCCACAATTATCTCCCTCTCTGTCTCCTCTCTCTTTTCCCAGTAGAACACATCATCAAATGATGGTACTCTCTGCCCTCCACAACCAGTTTTCACTCCGCTTCCTTTATGCCCACCTCACCTGTCCACAACAAACTGGCAATCTCCCTCCTCTATGCCTGTTGTCCCAGTAGCCTATGCTCAGCTCCCTACACAATCAGTTTACATTATGCCCCGCACAAACAGTTGTAGTGAGATGGTGCGCTTTACCAAATACCATGTCACCAGCTAAAATATTGTCTGACCAGGCAGTAATGTACATCAGTGTTATAAATCACTCAGGGGCCAAAAGACATTCAGCTTAAATTAACCCATTCAAAAACAAGAACACATTTGCTATTGCTGCTAAAGTGGAACTCCGAGCAAGCAATCTAGAAACAAATTAAATACATCCAGTGTATGTTAGCTGATATAGCTGCCAAAGGATCTGTAATTCTGTTCAGCCAGTGGCGAGATCCTCTATGCCAATTATAATAAGTGCACAAAATATAAATCCCCTCATTTACAAATTCATATCATAACAATTACAATCAGAAAAACAACATATGTGCTTATTCTTATATCGCATAAAGTGCAATAAAGCAAGATCTCCATATAACACCCAAAAGTCTAGTATTGCATCAATCAGTGACCAACTTCAAATAATGCAATCCATGTATCAAAGCTCATGCTCCACCTCAAGTAGGAATACTCCTCGCCTTTTGTTTTGGCCCTATCTGGCTAGGACTAGGTCAAAAGAACCTGCCTGTTGTGAAACACTTAAAGTTTCTTCACTTACTCATCCCCAATTCAGCAGTGTATCGCTCTCCCATGTAACCCAACTCCAAGGTTCATAAGTAGTGTACTATACGTAGTTTAGCTCCAAGAGAACGATCAAAACCATTGTATGACTCGTATTAAAAAGTACTTTATTAAAAAATGATCTAAAACACTCACATTTAAAAGTGCATTTGACCATGCACACAGTAACCAGCATTTTATATTGTATTCCCTTTAATATAATTAGCATGACGTATTTAAATAAGCGCTGTGCTATGCTGATTGTTTATAAGTATGTACTACTTTACATGTGGGCAGGTTTAATAGGTGGATCATTTTATATAATCATATTTGTTAGTTAGCAGGAAAGTGCAGAAGATTTCATATAATATAAAGTCACGAGATCCTGGGATCCCCGTTAGCAGCATAGCCAGGCCCACAACCTCCACTGCAGCAGCATAATTTGTTCTCTTGAAACCTCTAGCCCACTGAATAGGCAGGGAAGGAGCCTCAGCAGACAGATAAGTCATCAGCTATCACTATAATTTCTCTTTTCGTCAGCATATTCCTTTTCAGGATAGTTGCTCACCAATTAGTAAGAAGTGGATAAGGAAGGGTGTCAGTTTTTAGAGCTCTATTCTGATATTATATTCTGTTATTTTTAAATATCATAGAATTGGTCACTCACATTACAGAAGTCATTGTACAGTGTGTGTTTCAATCCCCATAGTGCATCCCTCTGGAGACAATTTTAGTGTCTTTCAGTAGCAACTAAATCAGATTTTCACAACAGATGTGTCTTATAATAGCGCACAAAGAAAGGAAGTGTGTGGACAACAGACCAACATGACTCCTGCTTTAGGGTCCGATGACAAGGGTAGTCAGAGGTTATATGATTAACTTCTGAAAGTCTAACCTGACCAAAAAGGAACGGGAAAGTACTAAGGAGGTGGGTCAGGAAGAAGCAATACCTTGGCTAGGCATGTCAGAGAAGGAGGTGGAAAATATATCTAAATTCTAATTTTAATATTTAAAAGTGGACCTTCACCTTTCCCACTCACTTGCTGTCATCTCACCCCTATACCCCCCCCAATCTCTCTCAGAATTGGACTTTTTTGCATTATGTTTTCCAGGGAGAACTCCTGCACTTGCTGGAATTACGTAGTTCATTGGCCCCAGCCTCTTGGAAAACCCACATCACACATCCTGGGAAGACTAGAGCTAGTCTACTGCACATGTGCCATGGAGCATCATCAGAGAGCCAGCTGTCTCTTTCTGGTTCTGGCATGTGGTCCCCTGATGACACAGAACATGAACTTCATCAGGGGTCGATTGCAAGAACCCAGAGGATACAGCCGACTCCCAATGATGTTAGAGAAAATGTTGGCGGCACGGGACCGGGTGTAAAGCAGCGGAGCGCAGAATCCCTGGTGGTGGGATAGTTTCTTTTTAAAATCCTGCACAGTTGATATACACGGATTATACATCTGGTCTCATGTTCCCTAGAGACAACAAAGCAGTGCTTTCCAGGTATGAGGGCTTTCCATTAAAGTGGACAGTGACACTATAAATTGTAAAAAAACTGCATTACAGTTAGCAAAAATGTTACCGTACAGTCCTCGCACCTGCACAAGGGGAACCAGAAAGCCACGGAGTGGATTGACATTATGTTTCTTCTGATATAATGAAAGGTCTGAATAAGCCTTGGAAACTAAGCGGGCAGAGAAAAAAAGTTACATTAGACTTCATAGAAGTTCGAAACCCTAACTGGATGACATTTAGATTGCTAAAGATCTGTGTATGGAACAGCTGCCTATTTTTAAATACATTGATTTCACTTTTTTTATCCCACTTTTTTTTTGCATCTCAGTGCTGATCTCCTCCTGCCACTTCCTGTTTACATGCACTCGATCCAGACACGTCTGCTTGTCATTGTTTAGGATCAACTTCCTGATGGTGACAATGATGGGCCATGTCTGCACAATGTGTGTGGACACAGCTGCTTGTAGTCTCCACCATAGGTGGATGTCACAGGATGTACACTAGGAGGCAGTTGTTACCTATTAACAGGAAGTGTCTTTATGATAGGATCACCAGGTAATCGTTTCATGAAAGCTGCATATACAAACATATATCACTTATATAAAACTTTTATAATAACATTAATAAGTAAAAGCCTACATGAGTTTTTGGTTATTTATTTAGATAAACTTTAAGAAAACCTACAAAATAAATTAAGAATTCTAATAACTGTCCAATATGAAAACAATACAAGTAATGGGAGCACTCACAATTCTCTTCTTTGTGAATGATGGTCCCATATGCCAACATATTTTTATTTTATTGGGCTTTATGCTGCTTGAGTAAGTAGGAATGAAACACTTCCCCAGGCCATCTCCTAGGTTTGAGGGTCAGGCTAACCCCCAGACTTCTCCAGTCACGCAACGCTTGGAACTGAAAAGCCCTCTTTAACCAAAGTATCAGATTATAAGGCCAATGAGGGTAAGTTCACAGCAGCCACTGTGGCAAAATTACGCATTCTTGCTTCAGATAGTTCATAAGGCTAACTGTTCCATCAAAGCATAACTTCACAGTGACAGATGATGGCATAAAAGGTCCAGAATGATCATTTCAGCCATAAGTTTATCTCTACATGAGAGCGCTAATAGCAAATGGTGCAAAACTTACATTCAAATTTGTTCCCTGACTGCTTGGCTTCATTCATGCGAGTTGTCAATGCACTGATCTGGGGCATATGATTATTAAGTTTGGCCGCTTCTCTCTGTCCTTTGACTATTAGTGGAAAAACCATAACACGTGCAAGTATTGTTCCTGTAGGAGAGACATAAGAAATACGTCATAAAAAACATAAAAGAAACCATTTTCATACAATTGTTAGCTTAATACTGTTAAGGTCTTACCTGTCACAATTGCACCCCACCAGGGGAGACCAATATCCATATGTAAAAAAGTCAGAAATTGTTGTATAAGGCCAACTGGACTGTAACCTCCAAGTCCCAATTCAGTCAAACTCTGTTCCACCTGACCAATCGTCTCTACAACTGTGGGGGCCAATTCAGAGACTGGGGGAGGAAGCACGCCTTCAGGAATAAAACTAGAATGTGGTAATGGTGCCTCTGAGACAAATGGGGCGGTTAGAACCTAGAACAACAATGTAGTAAAGGATAATGACAAAGTATAAACAGGTAACAGGTTGGATACATTGCATCAATGCAGAATAAAAGAAGTTTTTAAAACCAAGTTTAAACCACTTTTCTGTCATGAGATCGGGCTGTAAAGGAGAACTATGAGGTGAGTGAAAAATCACTCATCCTCATAGTTCCAGCCGACCTGTGACAATGAAACTGTCACAGGTCGGCTCAATAGATCGGGAAGTGAGCGAACACACTGTCAGTCACGGCTCCCTGCAGGGATCCCCCCCCTCCCCACCAGCGCTGACTGGAGGAACGGACGGAGGAGGGGGCGGGCACAGCTGGCTCTGCCTCTAGATAGGCAGAGCCAGCTGTCACTCACGCAGCTGGGTGGATCTCCACAGTAATGTCGGGATCCGTCCTGGCTGTGGCGGTCTCAGTATACCGCGAGCTGTAGCTCGCGATTTACTGAGCTTTGGGTCACGGGCGGACGCTAGTATATGTCCTCCCGTGACCCTTAAGAGAACTATGGGGAAAAAGACTTACCCCATAGTTCTCTTTTAAAACACATATTCCACTTATTGTGAAATAATTAAAATGTATAAAATGGACTGATGTTGCAAAAAGAAAAAAAATTGCATTTATTAATTTCTTGCATTTGATCCTGCAAAGCATTGCAACTGCAATTATTGTTTCGTAGGTAAAAAGCACAAGCTCCTGCAGACTATTACCCCAGCCAGGCATGGATCTTCTGTTATGGAGCTGGAGGAAGCAGATGGGACTTGTAGTTTTTCTATTCATCCGTGAATGTATGACGTAGCTGTGTGGGCGAATGCACAACTGCACCAAATAAAAAAATATACAGAATGCTGCATGCAGAACCACCCTGCAATTCTTGTAAGGTGTGTGTTTGTGTGGTCTATGGAATGGCACCATGTTTCATGTTACACCATAAATACATGAAACATGGTATGAAAGGTGAAACTAGCTTTTAATATTTTATGCGTTATTGAACCTAAACAAGTGTAGAGATAAGGATTTTTCTCCAAATGTTATTTTCTGAACCAATGACTGAGGCCAGATACCTAACATGTTCAGTAGGTCAGCGATGGAAGTTCCCATATTTCTCAAATGTACTTTTATTCACTCAAGTTATCCAAGTAGGATGAGTGCTGGGAGACTGGGGATCTCCTCTGCAGTAGGTGAACCTGGAAGTGCTCAGCTCTGAGCAATTCCATGTTCACAGCTGTAAAATGCTGGCCAGCAGCAGCTGTGTAGACAGCCTATCAGGGAGTGCCGGTCCATGAACTGCATGGGAGCATTGCAGGAGAGACGTTAGGGGTTCAAATAGACATACAGAAACATTGAATGCCGAACAAATATTAGTTATTCCTAAGCACATCAAAGAGAAGTGCTTCTCATTGGTCAGTGTGGTCAGGCGACTGTGCTGACCAATGAGTGCTTGCCATTTGTGAGGGTAATCTGAAATATTGAGAAAAGGGCTACAGTGCTGTGTACGATATACAGATCGTGCACTGGCAGCCACAGAGGGGAATGACTGTTTGCTGAATGGGAAGACTAGTGTGCGGGCGGTGGGACAGAAGTGGGCAAATTGGTGTGGGGAAATTCCATTTTCTCAAATTCACCTGGGAAAGTGTAATTACCCTTCAGAGAGATATCACATTGGAAATAGGTATGCAATTCAAAATGTACTGCATATGTCGTTGTATTATTTTAGCCTGACATATACTTTAAACACTTATACATATAGGCTTCAGTTTGTGAAACAGCAAAGTGTACACCAAGCTTTTAGAGAGTATTTCAAATCCTTCATCAAGATTTGAGCAGCTTTGTTGAAGCCTTTAAAGCAAACATCAGTTCCAATCTGGGGATGGACGACATATACACTGAGGGAAATTTATCAAAACTGGAGCAGATGCCCAGGGCAACCAATCAGCTTCTCTCTTCAGTATGTTCAGTTAAGATTTGAAAATGAGAGAGAAGCCGATTAGTTGCCATGCACATTTGCTTCAGATTTTGTTAAATTCCCCTCTTAGGCCTCATTCACATGTGCTTTTAATGCTCACATGTGGAAAAAGCTGCAGATTTTTGTGCCTAGAATAACAGGTGGTTCCAGACAGCTGCTGCCATGAAGCAATGGCAGGCTGACAGGAGCCGCTATTCGCATGTATTCGCACATGCAGTGATTGCCTGTGGCTATGGACAGTTCACTGGAACGGGACACAATCAACAAGCTGCAGGCAGGCTTCAGTCAGCTGAAGCCTCCTTATAGCTTGTTTAAAGTTTCCCAGAACATCTGTATGATACATTTTTCGTTATGGACACCATGAAGAGCTCACCTGGTTGGCAGCTGCAGTCGCTGCACTTTGGTAGCGAACATTTAATAAAAGAAATTGCCGTGTCCCAGGGGCCAGGGCCCTGTGTAAACGCAATGAACGTGGACATCTGTGATACTGAAAAACAAAACATTTGGTCAAATGTATATTGTCCCAATACAGTACAAGTCATCATTTATTTTTTAAAGGTGCTTAATGGAAACATGTCAGACAAATCGGAGATTTGAAAGTCCTGAACATTAACATTTAGCACAACTAATGCGGCTGCCCTATAAGACATTACATTAAAGCTGAACTCCAGCCGTACCTTTTTGTACCCACGCTTGTAGCAATTCCTTTCCTATGTTAAAACTGACTACTTTCAATCTCCTATAAACTTGCATCTCCACAATAGAACGCTTTGAACCTGCAGCAGCTATCTTAAAAGGAGAACTATGAGGTGAGTGCTTTTCTAGCCGACCTGTGACAATGAGACTGTCACAGGTCGGCTCAGTAGATCGGGAGGTGAGCGAACACATACCGGCGTTCGCTCACCTCTCGATCCTGTCACAGCTCTCTGCCGTGACAGGGGAGGGGCTGGATTCCCCCCTCTCCGCCAGCCCTTACTGGCGGATCGGATGGGGGAGGGTACAGCTGGCTCTGCCTCTAGTAAGGCAGAGCCGGCTGTCACTAACGCAGCTGGGCGGATCCAGACATAATTGTCGGGATCCGCTTTAGCTGTGGCGTCTCAGTATACCGCGAGCAGTAGCTCGCCGTATACTGTGGCGTCTCAGTATACCGCCAGCTGTAGCTCGCGGTATACTGAGCTTAGGGTGACGGGAGGACGCTAGTTTGTGTCCTCCCGTTACCCTAAGGAGAACTATGGGGAAAAGCCCTAACCCAAAAGTTCTCCTTTAGGCCCACCATTACTTCCTGTCTGAAAAACCGCCATAGTTTACCAATCACTTCTCCCCCGATTTGTACCCGTTTGCTCTCCTACAACTATTAGTTTTCTCTGCCATCAATCATTTTGTTCCTGAACCTTATATGCAAGAACACATCCCCAGCATTCCTTTATATGTGTCAGCAACCAGTTACGGGTCAGCACAGATAAAGTTTGCAGCACCCAGGGTCCAACAGAGAGAAGCAACATCTGAAGCAGGGAAGGGCATTTCTGAATCGCCTGGCGCCCAGGAAATGCAGTTCTGGGTGCCAGGGAGAACTGCCGCTTGTTTTGTAAACGTGATCTGGGCGGCTGTACAGCTGCCTAGACCACTTGTAGCAGCCTGCTTGTTCACTACCCCCCTCCCCACCATGGTTTTTGGGGTCTTCTATGGGACCTGGAACCATGGCAAATGAGTTCAGGATGGAGAGTGGGGAGCAGACTGGAGAACGTCCATTTTCTGATCTACTCTATGTGATCAGTGAGACAGGAGCGCTGTACTCTGTGCTGCAAGGAGATTAAGCACAAAGCTGTGCTCGACTGTCTGCATTGAAGGGCAGGCTCCATAAAGAGAACCTGTCACCTCCAAACGTTATCACGTAAGGGCATTTTCAGACCGTGTGATAACAATAAAAGTAAAAAAAAAAAAAAAAAAAGATCAAAAAGTTTAAACAAAAAAACGCATTTACTGCAACTGTCATTACGTATACACATAATGATGTCACATGCACTTCGGTTGTGGACACCAGGCAAAGGGAGGGACGTTCATCTGACGGGATAAGGTATGATGCTCGGTCCCCTCCTTTCTTGTGCAGCTGTTGGGCTCTTGGTCCATGACTGAGTGCAGGACTTTTCAGAGTCGGGCACTCGGTCATGGTGTCAGTTATTTTGGTGTTACCCCCTCTGATGGAGTGAATCGTTGCGGGCCGCACCCCCCTTGTGATGCCACTGAGTAGGGCATTGTATGTGTGTGAGGTGAGTGCTGCCCCATTCCAATGTATGACACACATTGTGGTAGCCGGGCAGCAATGCTCTCTATCACTACCAATGTGCATTAAAAGCCAAGTTCACTTTCCCAAGTAATTTGGGAAAATTGAATTACCCGCTCAAATCTGGCCCCCTCCCCCTCTGCTGGTACAGGTGTACTATCTGTACTCCATACAGTCGTCCTGCACAATGGATTTAGAATTTCATTCAAATTGCGAGCACTCATTGGCCAGTGCAGACACCTGACCGTACTGGCCAATGAGAAGTGCTTCTTAGTATTGTTAAATACAGTTTTGGTTAAAATTATTATCAGGACAAATAGATTGGCTCCTGCTTTAGTTTTTTTTTTTAACAATTCCACACCCCTGTAAAGGGATCTCAGGGATGTATTCTTTCACAAAGATCCAAAGAAAAGCACTGTGATATGGATAGGCGCCTGCTGGCCCATGTCCACCAAACTCGGAGCAAAAAGCAGCAGACAGACCAAGTGATGACATCATTGGGTCTCAAAACAGGTATTTCTGCAAAAACAAACATTTGTTGAAAACAGCATTCTAATCAGAGTAAGGGAGACAATGGAAGGTATTATGAGGGTAATCAAAACTGGAGCAGTTGCCAAAAGTAACCAGCTTCTCTCTTCAGTTTGTTCAATTAAACTTTGAAAATAAAAGAGAGATGTTGATTGGTTGCCATGGACAACTGCTCCAGATCCTGTCTGCTCTAGTTTTAATAAATCCCCCCTTATATGTGTACACTAAACTTCTACTTTAAAATTTCCCAAGATCTCAACCAAAATCACGGTCATTACAGAAGCCATCACTTAGATCAGGAGTAGCCAGCTGCGGTGCAACTACAAATCCCATGAGGCATTACAAGACTGACAGCCACAGGTATAACTTCCAGAGGCAGGTGCATCATGGGATTTGTAGTTTGACCAGAGCTGGAGGGCCAAAGTCTGGCTACCCCCAGCTTGGATCCAGTAGCAAGAAAATATATAGGCTGCCATGCCTGAAACTGCTGGCTATCATCATGATCCAACAGCTTCAATAATGTTGGAAATTGGAATAATTAACCCAAAACAAGCATACAGACATAATTCTGCTCTAGCTGGGAATATTGCATTCTGATAACTATGAGGTGAATATACTGTGTTTTTTAAAATACTTTAACATTTACAAGCAGAACAAGCTGTGCAGCAAAATGACGGACTGAAACAAATCATAAAACACTGACAAGGGTGCTTACAACGATTGGTTGATTGTATTTATACAAATAAAATAAGAAAAAAATAGCTGTAACTGCTTAAAAGTGTTAGCTGGAGTTGGGCTTGTTGTCTCATTATTTGCTGCTCTCAATTTCTTTGTCATTTAACACTGTATGTCCATCTAAAACTACTCTATGTAATGGGTGACAATGCTGATGTGCAACGTCACTGCAGTAAGATCAGCGTTGTCACCCTAATAAACGAAGTGAAAAAGTAGCAGATCTGCTGTGAATGCCAGCGATAGTTTACATAACATATGTCTTTTTTTAAATTTTGTTTAGAGTTCCACATTCCAGCCTACTTCACTTTGGTTCAATGATTCAGGAAACGTTTTGAAGCCAAAAACAGCCACTGGACTAAAATTTTCAGTAGGTCAGGAATGGCAGCCTACATGTTCCTCCAGTACAAATGTTGCTAACATTGTCAAAGCATCTCCAGGGACACAATGGGGGGAATTCATAAAACTGGAGCAGTTGTCCATAGTAACCAATCAGCTTCTCTCAGTTTTTCCATTAGGCTTTAAAAATGAAAGAGAGAAGCTGATTGGTTATTATGGGTAACTGCTCCAGACTCTGCTCCTTTTTTTTACGATTTGCTCCCAATGATTCTGAACTGACAAAGCCAGGCAAGGACATTTATTTCAAACATGAGGTTATCCTTGTAAACCTAAAGAGCATTTAGTAATATTATGACCTGCTAGCAGGATAGCAATGATACCTATGGATCTCTTCACATCTCTCCTCTGCAGAAACACAAATATCAGTGTGACCTCCATAGACATGCGTCTGCAGACAAGGACCGATCCTCTACGGGCCACAGCAAGCTTCCACACACCTTCTACCAGTACAATAATAAATTAACACTGTACTTACATGTCTCTCTGTCGCTTCAGTCAGCCTCCAGACTCCTCGTACTCTATGACCCAATACAAGCCGACATGCCGCTTCCACCCTGAGCGCCGCCATCTTCCCCCATACGTCATTGACGAGCGCCGCAGTCACAGACACGCATGCGCAGAATTGCAGTCGGTGTATTGGCCATGCGTAGTGACGCTCAGAGGGCAGTAGAGCTGGGGGCGGGGAGCTGAGTGCCTAATGACCTGTGTACACTGTTCTATGATCACGTATAGGTGCAGGTCAGCAATGCAGATATGATTCCGGTCTCTGTGCACATTGGAGTCTATGCCTATGGCTTGTTTGTGCACCACTAGTGCAATAATGTCAGTAGGCGCTGTGCTGTGTTAACCTGAATGGTACACCGTTTCCTGTCCAGGCCATATTGCAGTTTCAGAGCTGTGATAGTTTGACTGACAATTGTTCTGTCACGTGTCACTATCCAAATTATTTGAAATAATTTTTTAGACAGATGGAGCTATCCAATGGTGGTATTTAGTAACTACTGGGTTTGTACTATGTACTATTTCTATTATGAAAGATAGCAAATAAAAATCCCAGGGCAGTATGAACCCCCAAACCATTTGTAGAAAGCAGACACCCCAAGGGGATCTAATTTTTTTGCCAAAATGTATAGGAAATGAAGAAGCTTGCTGGTACGGAGGGGATTTAAACATGGAGTTTGGTAATTGTTCACCACATACAATAAATGTACATATCATACACAGAGGGAGGAGCAGGTGAAGGGATTAATGTATAGGTTACGTACAATGGGAGGATGGAGGTGAGGTGTTAATAAACAGGTCAGAGCAGAGACAGGATGAAGCTGACATATACTGTAGAGGGGTGAATGGGTTCTGGTACTGGATGACACTGGTATTAGTTTTTACTTGTGCTGTCTATGATCAGCAAGCTTTCTTTTGTGTGAGAGGAAAGTCAGAATCAGCTGCTAACTGCAGTCATTGTTCAAAATGTGTGCTGCTGTGATTGGTCGGCGATCATGTGGTACTGAGCTTCATTGGCCTCTTTTTGTAATTACTGTATTGTGCTCATATGTGCGCTAGGGGATGTGCACTAGAGATGGGAAGTTCGGATCTTTTAAATTAATCGGTTCATTTGAATCAGTTCATTCAAAAGATCCGATTCATGAATCGAATCTTCGATTCACCTGCTGAGTCGGCTGACAAGCAAGTGAACCGAAGCTCAGGAGCTGTCTGAACCTTCATAGAGGACTCTGATTCAGAGAAGGGTGTCGGGCAGCTCCTGGGGAACATTGATCACAGGCTAGACTTCGCTGCCCACGTGCATCAATGAGCCATAGCTACCCATGGCGCTGTTGTGGGTTCACAATTTTTTCTTCCTTGGACTATTTTTTCTGCTTCCAACGCATCAACTTCAGGGACAAAATGTTCACTTGCTGCTTAATATATCTCACCCACTTCCAGGTTTCATTGTAACGAGATAATCATTGTTATCCACTTCCCCTGCCAGTGGCCATAATGTTATGGTTGATCAGGGTGTGTGTGTGTGTCTGTGTGTGTATATATATATATACTCAGTGGCCAGATTATTATGACCACCCCATCAGTACTTTGTTGGGCCACGAGATGACTCCACGTGATGACTTCGTTGGGCCGCCTCGTGACTCCACGAGATGTTGAAAGGTGATGCGAGGAATCTGACACTGCACTGTTGCCCTTCTGTTGTCTTGTACCAGTCTTGCCACTCTCAGTTCTGCCCTAACATTGACTAGTCACTGACGGCCACAATTCGCACGTTCAGACCCAGATTTCCGGCTGACAGTCCAGTCTTTAAACACTTTAACAACAGCTGCTCTTGAACATTTAACGAATTCTGCTGTTTTGCTGATACTCGCTCCATGGCTCCGAGCGCCAACAATCATCCCACGTTCAAAGGCTGTTAAAGCGTTGTTTACCCATATCTTCAGAAAAAAATCACTTCTACTGTCGTGGTAAACAACCTGCTTCCCTATTTATAATGGTCTGGCCCTCTAGCAACTTCAGCGCAAAATTATAGCTAATTATAGATAATTTGCCTACAAACGTCAGGTGGTCATAATAATCTGGCCACTCAGTGTATATGTATATGTGTTTAAGTGGGCAATATTTGCAGGGGAGTAGTGGAGAGGGTATAACAGTTGGCAATGTGTGCAGGAGCAGAATGCAGCGGGTATGGCAGCTGTCAGTGTGCAGGCGGTTTATGGTAGCCCTTGTGTGTTTACAATTAAAGCCCTGCATGGCCAAAGCACAGGTTTGCTTTAAGCCACTCCACTGTAGAGTTTGCTGTGTGCTTAGGGTAATTGCCGTGCTGGAAGTTGATTCTCCACTTTAATTCCAGGTTCGAGCAAGCGGTGAGTCCTCACTCTTGTCTTTAAGTGCTATAGCTTAGCAAGCCTGGTCCCCCACTGAGCTCAATGGTCCCTCTTTGTCACAACTGTGTCCTGTAGTCACACAGGTTTGGCAGATTGAACCACAGCTCAGGGTGGGAGATGCAGGCATCTGAAATTCATGGAAGTGTTGAAAGTTGAAGACTTTACTGGTGGGTGGAGAGAGGCTTTTATTGCCTGGAACTTTGATTATTTAATTTTTTGTCGTTGTAGGAATAGAGTTGCTTTATGTTCAGAGGACTCAACACCAACTGACACCTGAAGCTGATAGTCTTTAGATACAGAACATTCTGTATGATACCAAGAACTGTATCCATATGAAGTAAACTGGTGCTTGTTAGAAAGTTCATGACCTGAATTGTACCAATTATCAGGTCTGGTCCATAGTTCAAACAATCTATTAGTTAGCTCATGTACACCATGACTCATTGTAAGTGTATTTTATAGTTATGATTAGCAAAGTTGGAATTTCCCTGCATTGGCTAAACAGTATCTATGCATGATTTTTTTCAGCAGTATAGTTGTGTAGTAAAGTACACTTGTCATTTTTAAAAACTATCTGAAATGACCTAAGAAACAAAAGGCAGGTACAAATCAGAGCTTGCACATACATTTACCTGTCTTCTCCCTTAACCTGATAATCCCAGGGTGCCACCTTTCACAACATTGAGGGTTAGCCTTTTCACTCCTGCCTCCATCACCTTCCCATTGGCAAGTTAGGGAACCCATCATTTGGAGGACCAATAGTCAACCTACCTTGGTAAACCTGACCATACCCCTGATTATACCCCTACTGTTTACGGGAATTGTTTCTCAATAATACGTAATCCTCTGTGTTTGTGTATTATGCTACAGGTTTCTGTTATTGTTTGATTTATTCGTGAAACAATGTTTCATGTTTGTTTTTTTTCAAATGTCAACAGTTGGCTGATGTTGCACATTTACACCGTGTGCACAATTATTAGGCAAGTGAGTATTTTGACTAAATCACAATTTGTATGCATATTGTCCAACTCCAAGCTGTATGAGCTTGAATGCTTATTGGATTTAAGCATACCAGATGATGTATAATGAGGGAGGGTATGGCCTAAGGAGACCAACACCCTATATCAAAGTGTGCATAATGATTAGTCAGCTTCTTTTCCTCAGGCAAAATGGGCCAAAAAAGAGATTTAATTGACTGAAAAGTCAAAAATGTAAAAAGTCTTTCAGAGGGTTGCAGCACTCTTGAAATTGCTAAGATATTGGGGCATGATCACAGAACCCTCAAACGTTTTGTTGCAAATAGTCAACAGGGTCACAAGAAACATGAACAGAGAAAGAAAGACGCAAATTAACTGGCAAAGATTTGAGAAGAATCAAATGTAAAGCTACCAGGAACCCATTAACCTCCAGTGCTGTCATATTCCAGAACTGCAACCTACCTGGAGTGCCCAGAAATACAAGGCGTTCAGTGCTCGGAGACATGGCCAAGGTAAGGGAGGCTATAACCCGACCACTACAGAACAAGACACATAAGTTGAAACGTCAAGACTAGGCCAAGAAATATCTGAAGACAGATTTTTCAAAGGTTTTATGGACTGATGAGATGAGAGTGACTCTTGATGGACCAGATGGATGGGCCAGTGGCTGGATCAGTAATGGAAACAGAGCTCGACTTCGACTCAGACGCCAGCAAGGTGGAGGTGGGGTACTGGTATGGGCTGGTATTATTAAAGATGAGCTAGTTGAACCTTTTCTGGTTGAAGATGGACTCAAAATTAACTTCCAAATCTACTGCCAGTTTTTAGAAGACACTTTCTTCAAGCAGTGGTACAGGAAAGTGTCTGCATCTTTCAAGAAGACCATGATATGTATGCAAGACAATGCTCCATCACATACATCAAAGTACTCCACTGCATGGCTAGCCAGTAAAGGCCTTAAAGATAAAAGAATAATGACATGGCTCCCTTCCTCACCTGACCTAAACCCTATTGAGAACGTGTGGGCTCTTCTTAAACGGGAGATTTACGGTGAAGGAAAACAGTACACCTCTCTGAACAGTGTCTGGGAGGCTGTGGGTGCTGCTGCATAAAAGTTGATTATCAAAGGTGAAGAAACTGACCGACTCCATGGATGGAAGGCTGATGATTGTTATTTTGGTCACTGATTTTGTTTTTGAAAATGTCAGAAATGTTTATTTGTAAATTTTGAGTTGTTTGTTTATTATTCTCACTTTAACAGATGAAAATAAACAAAAATATAAACAAATAAACATTTTCCATTTAGTTGCATAATAGTTCTGCACATATAGTTGCTCAATAATTGTGCACACACAGATATTCTCCTAAGAAAGCCAAAACCTCACTTTTACTTTCTTAAATATTCAGGTTTGATGTTTATTAACATTTTAGATTGACCGAGAACACTGTAGTTGTTCAATAATGAAATTAATCCTCAAAAATACAACTTGCCTGTAAACATTTTAATCAGCCAACGACGGCTGTTACATAGAAGCGTTTGGATAGCTGTAGAACCGCCCATTTGCTTGTATGGTGAATGGGAGTGTGTGAGTCCCCCCCTCCCACCACTGCTGCTGGCTATCCCATGGGCCTGGGACCGGCATGGCAGGTCTCTGCACTGAGATAGGAGTGAAAGAAGCATATTACAGTGGCTGATCTCCCCTCCGATCACCGAATGTGGAAGT